ATTAATTATTCATTTCATCAGATGTTGTATATTTTATTCATCAGAGAATTCTTACTAATGAGTAGTCCAATTAATTTAGGAGAAAAAAACATTTTGTCATTCGAATATTTTTTTGTTTTTGTAGCAGTACTCAAATTTCTATTCATTTCGATGATTATGGTGGTGTTGGTGTCCAGTTTATTGTTACTGTTTGGCTCATAATAATTAAAGATTATTATATTGAGATTTATGTCCTCATAACTTTGGTTACAACTTTCAGAGTTTGGCTAAATCGTCCTTTTCTTTTTACAAGGACTTCAACATTTTTATTATCCCTTAATAAGAGGACTTTTCTTTTACACAAAGTCTGATTTATTTTATCTTTGAGGAGAAAATTTGTTTACATTGACTGACTGGAACTTTTGATTTCTCAGTGTCTTCATTTCTACTAGATCTAAATGATCCACCCCTACTGTTGTGGTTGACAGTTTTCGCCAACCACGCAGGTGGGCCAGGTTCGTAATCCGGCCAACTCACCCTTAAACGTCATCTAGCTGGTGGTAAGCTTGGTAAAGGAATAAATTTGGGTGTGAGGCTGCTGTTCCTGCCCCTGTCAGAATTAATACCAACGTTACACTAACACTACAGTGATTAAATCTTGAAACTTTATTATTATTGTTATTATTATTATTATTCCCTTGAGTTCCGAGTATAACATAAGGCTCCACTTTCTTCTGTTTAATGCCGTCCTCTTTAGCCGGGTCCACGATCACCCATAATCTCTCATCTCCTCCTCGCCACATGATCTCCTCTATGTCATCCTAGGACAACCAACTTATCGCTTCCCGTTTAGATTCCACTCTGTGTTTTATTAGAAACATTAAGACTGAAAAAAATCTCTATTGATTTATACGCCCTTTGGGCTGATCCCACCGTTAGTTACCATTTGTGGGTTTTCTCTCAATACACTATTGTGCGACACTGTTGTATTTCAGTCATACTGTAATAGGATTAGTAATAATAATGGCTTGATCTGTTGGATAGATTAAACCGAGTATATTCTAGTTAATTATGAAGCTTTGATTTGGCATTAGGTAGTAACTAGTTGCATGTGTGTAGTCCTAAATGTTGAAGCCAACTGTATTCCGTTACTTAAGTTTGTAATGTGGTCACTATGTTAGATGGCTCTCCATCACAGCGCACTGTGAAATGTTGTTATTAGATGGTTGGAGGAAACCGGGGAGAAGCTCTGCTTCACCTAAGTTTCGTGTTTGTTGGCACTCACCAACCAGCAAGGTGTATGGATAATCCCAAAATAACTAATGTTGCTTTTGTGATTCTAACCCGTATCACCCAGTGAGTGCTGTAGTCAGAGACGTTATCCCTGAACTTAACTGATAGAATTCAGCCTGCACGAAACAAAGGACCATACACATGACACTCCTTATTACATAGTGTCCAATCAGAGTATTTAATGCACCCCTACAGAAGGTCAGTTGGGAGCTTAAAGAGCTCAGTGGTGATGTGATGGCATCATATGGAGGTAATTGGTAGGAAGGCTTGGACTTAGGTTTCGTGCCATTTGGCACTCGTCATCAGGGCGTATCTGCAACCTTGAAGGAATTCATGTCCCTTCAGAGACTCTAACCCGCGTCACTCAGTGTCCCCTGTAGTCAGAGACGTTACCACTGAGCTATTCAGGCTTGCGATTGACCTCCTGTAGGACTGCATTGGATACTTTGATTGGCCACTAGTAACTAGTGTGATGTATCTAGTCCTTTCTTTGGTGCAGACTGAATTCTATCAGTTAGGTTTGTAATGTTGCCACCATTCTAGGTAGTTCACCATCACGGTTAACATTGGTTTGATAATATTGGACAGTTGAATGCATGAGTTCCTTCAAGGTTGCAGACACGCCCTGACGACGAGCGCCAATCAGCACGAAACCTAGATCCAAGGCTTCCTGCCGACTACCGTCAACCATCCAATAGCTAAGAAGCCGTAAACATGATAATTAATCCAGTTGGAGGTAATCAGCAAAAAGTCCTAGGATCTAGGTTTCGTCCTTGTTGTTATCACAAGTCAGCAAAATGTATCGGCAATCTTGAAGAAAAATTATATTCCTTAGGAGCTGTATTCTTTTTTAACTCGATTAAAACACTTTCAAATAATTTCACTTAGATACCACTCGATCAACGCATAGATTTGTGTATTTACTTATTTAGAATAAAAACTAGTCTGTCTTGTTTGTAAATGCCTTGTTTATTTTCAAATGGAAGGTGAGTTGTCATTCTGCCATCCTTATTGTCAAATCTGATGATGTGAATACATTAGCATAAAAATTCTGTTTATCAGTATATATTGAAAATAACGTGTACCAAGCAAATTAAGGTACACCACTAAGTGCATTCAAGTAATAAATTGACAAATGCCTGATTCATCATCAAAATGACTTATTCATCTCTGTATATATGCATTTATTTGACATGACTTTCTGTCAGTCAGTTTCATCTAATTTGTTTTTTTTTTTGACAAATACTTCTTTAGAAACGTCAATGTCACACTTTCTGACTTTTAACTTAAAGTTATTCTTAGGCTTACTTGTTTTATACATGCGTGTATTTAGGCTATTGTGAGATCGCACTTTATTTGTTTAGTGTCAATGCAAACTGAGTATCTTTAACCTGTGATTCCTTTTGGGAGTAACAGTTAATTCTAAACCGGAATTTGACAGGTGTCAGTTGCATAAAAAAACAGCGTTTAATACATTTAGATAAACGACTTTTAAATGACCTCAGCGACACTGTCACCCTTGAACGCCAAACTCACAAAAACAGTGTCTTCTTTGTCACTGTGATTTGACTGGGGACGGTTTCTTTTTTCGTTTTTTTTTTCTGCTAATAAACCTTCTAGGGTATCCATTATTTGAGAGAGTTGTGCGAAGGCTTTCTATTTCAATGTCGACCATATCTGTGAAAAAATTTTCCAAATTTTACAGCATAAAGAACAGATAAGATTTCTCTTCCTACCCAAAGGTATCCGACTGTTGAAGTTAGCGTACTGCCCTGTAAGTGTTGACTTTCGATAAATCTACCTCTCTTCTGTCTAACATCACATCTAAGAAGTGAAATGAGGAATTCGATTCTTCTTCAATAGTGAAAAGCATTGATGGGTGAGAACTACCAAATTTTTCAAGAAGCTCAGCAGTTGTCGTTACAAATAATGAAGGTGTCATCAGTACTTTGCTTATGCGTATAAATACTCGAAATTGTTTCCTTCAATGGATCACTCCCTAAGCTCGCCATTAAGGCATCCGCTAGAAGAGGTCCTGTTGGGAACCTCACATGATTTACCCTTGAAAGTTATTAACAGGACCAAATCCAACCACCCCAAAAGCTTTTTTTCTCCACTTAAGACTGTGGTAGCCAATTAATCTCAAAATATTTGATCAGAATATTTTGTGTTCTTGGCATGAAACTGTGACAGATTTACATCTTAGAGCGTGTAATTAGCAAATGATAAATTGAGGCCAATTTTAATTTTTTTTTAATCGAACATTTTTCGACTTCTAATTGGAGGCAAAGTCAACCAAAGGATTAAACGAACTCATTGGTTTGCAGGTGTATTCACTTTGTTACATATATAAATAATTATTTACACTAGTTCAACAGGTATAATGAAGAAATATTGAATGTTTGTTCATTCACATGATACCTATAGCATAAAGGGGACTAAAACAGAGAATAAGTCGAGCATTAGATACTTTAGAATAGTCCTACCCTCTGATCGTTATTAGTCATGCAATATCTTGTTGATTTCTAAGGAAATGCTTCATCAAACCTGCTACATAAAGAAGTTAAGACAATCAAGAATCACTCAACCTCTATTTTTACAATCTGTTAACTCTTGCATCTTACCTATTGTTGTAAACTGCTCCCCCCTTAGTTTTTCCTGAACTACTCAAAAATGACCATGTCACATTGTCGAAGGTATTAAAGATTGTCAGTAGGGAAAGTGATATGTCACTAAGTCAGCTCCTGACAATTGTAGCCGATAGACACTTGAACTCATGTGAGAAATGGTCCAAATTCATATTGTCTGATTCTCAACACTGCCTTTATTCACAACTGTGTTTCATGCGATCAGGTAGGACTGGAAGTCATTACAAAAGACTATATATGGTTGTACAACTCTATTTGGCTCACATTCTATGTAATGGAGATAGTGTTAGGCGTGGAACGTAAAGCTCACTATGTAATTACCGCTTCGTGCGTCGGTGGCGCAACGGTAGAATGCTCGCCAACCACACCTCGTGTGGTCCAGGGTTCGAACCCCGACCGACGTACTCCTCTACCTCACCAAGCCAATAATAAGACTGGTAAAGAGGGAAGGTTGGGCATAAGTCTAGCAACCTATTTCCGTAAAAATAATAAACACTGCTAAAGAAACTTCAGTGCGTCGGTGGTACAGCGGTTAGGACGCTCGACGACCACGCGCGTGGTCTGGAGTTCAATCCCCGGCCGGTGCACTCCTTTACCTCGCTAAGCCAGTAGTGAGACTGGTAAAGAGGAAAGGTTGGGCACGAGGCTAGCTACCCCATCCTGTAAAAATTAGCACTAGTGCTACAGAAACCTCAAGCCTCTAGTTTGAAGCCCTATATTCCACTGGGAACGTGAAGGAATAAAAGAATTTCAAAAAATGTAATTAGCAAAATAATTGGCTCTTTTATCCTCTCCTATTTGTAATTTATGGTGATACTATTTCTGCTATCTTATAATTCTAGTTATTACTTTTATTTTTATATTTTTTAGACATTTTTGAACTTATTGTTACTGTTAATCACAAAAAGTGTTACTATCACCAGTTTTGGTTACCTATAATCTGTAACTTTTTAACTTTGTTGCTGTTGAGTAAATCAGATGCAATATTGTATCAAATGCTAAGAATTCCACTGTATATCATAAGTACTGCTTTGAAATATTAAATTAAATCTTCTTTTTCCATATCTATTTCAACCTTAGAAAAACCTCAAATATCTCAAATCAGTACAAATCAAACAGTTCGTGTTGGTAATCAAGTGATATTGAATTGTCATGCCTCCGGTGATCCACATCCACAAATCAGCTGGATAGTTAAAAAACCCGGTTATAAAGTTCCAAATGTTTATACTCCGTTGGCGGATACATCAAATGAAGCAGACAGTGGACAATCTGGTGATTCATCTGTTACAAATGATGGATCATCATCATCAGTAGATCATTTACATGAACAACAACAACAATATCTACAACCTTCACCAGGTTCAAATTCTCCAGCTGTTTCATCTGCTTCAATAGATCATAGTTTAAGCAATGCACCAAATCCAGATGCTGTTGTAGCTGCAATATCAAGAAATATGCAAGCTAATGGAGGACGAGTAACAGCATTTTCTAATGGTAGTCTAATTATCAGACATGCACATTTATCCGATCAAGCTGAGTATATTTGTGTTGCTGGAAATAAACATGCTATTAAAACACGTCAAGGTGTATTTGTTAGAGTTTTAAGTAAGTATTTACATTGTATTAAGAGAATATACTTGAATTCCATTTGTTTAACCAGGATTTTCTTAGCCTTTTGTGTACAATGTTAACAAGGTTGAAGTTTGATCACGGATTGAGCTTATTTAGAGAGCCATTGAAAACCAGTTAGGAGTAGTGGACTGTCAGTTGTTTCGTTCCTGGTTCGAGACTTGTCAGCTATACGCCTCCACTAGGGTTCGAATCCACGACCTTTCGGTTACAACGCAAGCTACTGTGGCAACTCAACTACTGGGATCTAAAAGGAGGACGAAACGGCTGGCTGTCCAGTATTCCTAACTGGTTTTCAGTGGTTCTCTAACGGATGTCAGTCCGTGATCAAACTTGAAGAAAACCAAAGCCCTACAAACAAACTGCTGACAATTAACAGGGTTAGTTAGAATATGCGACTTTTCTGTTTGTCGTTATTCAGAAGCCAAGATGTGTTTGAATATCATAAGTAAATCGTTAAATCAACTTATGCTTTATTATAACACTTACAGGATAAGAGATATGTCTGGTGATATTTATAGAAATTTGAAGAAGGACGTGACTTATCTCACTTTCATTGTCTGTATAGTCAACTTGTAGCTTGTCCTTTACTATACACTATTATAACCAAATATAAACCGTTAGTATGGTCATAAAATCGTTGTTATTATGATTACGGGGGCCTGCTTAAATCATTGAGCTATCATAATTTTCCTTCCCTTTTCTACATTGTGTTTGAATTATACAGTGATATCATATGATCACTACATGAACTGGCGCTCACGGTTCAATTAGCTTTTAACAAAACACCGTGTAATTTGTTGAAGGAAGTGAAGAATTTGCTCTCTCTCTCCCTCTCTCTTGATATGCAACAACACGATATCCTTTGATGTACTTCAGATTAGCAATTTATATGGGAATTCTGTATGGAAAGGAAATATTTTGGAACTAAATACGCTGAAACTTTTTGTACTGTGTATTCACATATTGTCTGAAATAAAGGTTTATTAAATTATTATTATTGTGAGTGGAACATAGGGCGACTTTAACAGCATATCTTTATTGTATCCTGTTTTCTGAAGTTCTTTTTATCTGTTTCTATGATTGCCCATAAGTTTTCATCTGCTATTGACACGGTCTCATCCAGATAACTGTCGGAGCCACTCCTAACTTTTCGTTTCTCATTCGTGTTCCACTTGACCGACAGCGTAGCGCGTGATATCCCCCCCCCCCAGTGTGTGTCTGATCAATCAAAAAATGAACAAGAAGAATTAGCTATGTTAGATTGTAAAATCAAACAAACAGAATAAGGTAAACTGCACACTAGCGTTTTAAAAAAAAGCATTCTAATAGATATTTAGAATTTAATTCATCTCATCCATCGTTGTCTGTAAAGGCAGGCTTAGTGAATTGTCTAACAAACCGAGCGATAGCACTAAGTAGCACAAGAAAAGACCTAAATGATGAAATAAAGCAGATAGAAGAAGCGTTGGTATCAAATAGCTATTCTATAAAATTCATTAGGAAGATCAGAAAAGGCCAAAAGCAAAATAAAAATAATTGTGAAACTAGTTACGATAAAATACATAGGAAAGAATATAAGGCATCTACTGCTATACCATATAAGGAGGGGACATCTGAGACCCTACACAGGATTCTTAATAAAGCTGGAATTACAGTGGTATTTAAACCTACAAACTCACTCAGGGACAAGCTCTGTAGGCTAAAAGACCCGGTGGATGCAATTAAACAAAATAATATAATTTACAAAATGCCCTGCAATGACTGTGAGTTAGGTCAACTACACAGGTCAAAATAGTAGATCAGGGGCAGTCAGATTGTCGGAATCTAAGAATTTAGTTAAGAATGTTTGACCCCAAGAAGATAAGCAATTTAGAATAAAAGCCCAGCGATTGCACTGCATTGATTGACACACAACCACACAAAAGAGTGGGTGGGACAGAGTTGAAATTCTAAGAATTATTGTAGGTAGATGGAGAGAGAGATTAATTACTGAATCCTGTCTGGTTCATTGAGTCTCCAACCAACATATGCAACAGAAATGACTCAATACAAATACTATAGATATTGAAGATATTATTACCACCAGTCAAATCAGAGGAGGATAATAAATAGTCTTAAAATTCTATTTCATTTGACGTACATCGTAACATTCTAACAAGTTACTTATTATGACTATAAAAACACTCGTCGTATTTCCCATCTGATTTTAGTTGATCAATAACCCTCATATTATTATTTCTGAATGCTCATTATCCTATATTGGTTTTTATTCAAATATCTAATTAATTTCACTCATGTATGTAAATGAAGGAAAAAAGTTGTGTGAGTGACTTGATATGGTTATGAGTGGCAATAGTTTGTGCTCGAAACGTCACCAGTTAATAATACTGTATAACACCGTGTGATTTATCAAAATAAAATCTTATCTATAATGGAGTTATACTGTTATGTACTCGTCGCTAAATTATTGTTATGGACTGGTCGAGAATTTAATAGTCCTGACACAAGAAGGCGGAAATCAGAAGACCACTAGGTTTGCGATGATACTTCTATTTTCCAAACACAAGGAGACACAATAAGTGGTATCACACCAAAGTGGTAAGTAAGAAAGTCACAAGATTGTGAGAACTACATATATACATGACCGTCCAGACAAGTGTGTGAACAAATCATTAGACAGTCTTAACATGAATGGCTAATTATAATGGAGTGTCGATCCAAATATACATAGCAAAATATAGCAGACATGTCAACAACCACCATATATGGATATATGTCACCAAGCAACGGACTGTCAACAAACACTCATATTATATATAATATAAGGAGAATATACATTGTCAAAGGAGACAGGTTCATACAAGTGAAATGGTCACAGACTAAGCGAGCAAACAGAAAGAGAGACCAACATACACACACACATATTTATAAATGGATACATTTCATATACCCTACCACAGTGCCCAAGTTTTATATTTATATCAGCAATTTCTATTTACGTCGACATATTTGTTGGACGATAAGTTCTTGGTTTGGTACGTTGCTGCCTACTGTAGTTTTTTTTTTTTGCCTAATCCTTCCTGGCTGGTGGCCACTTAATCCTTGGTATTGAACCAACGAAGGCTGATGTTGATAAAAGTCTGTAGCCAGCTGTAGAAGATGCCTTCAGTGACGTTCCAAGTCTCTGAAATGAAATAGTAATAATTTTTAAAAGAAACAACCTAAAACTGAGTGAAATGCCTAGTAGACGTAATGAACATCAAGCTTTTTTTTACAACACATACCAAAAAGCCTGAAAGTACTTCTTTTATTTCGAGGTAGTTGATTTATTACAAAAAATACTGTAACTATAGATGATGATGATGACTCATCAGCGTTGTGTACATCTTGTTTATTTTGCAATCATTCATCTTCTATACACAAGGAATAGACTTTTATTTGACAAATTACAAATTACACTGTGTGTATTTTCTTTTCTTTTTACCATACAAAGAAGTTGAAAAATAGCTGAAACACTATCGTTGATTGTAGTAAACCCTGCACTCTGACTTAAACACTAAAAAGGGTGTCTACGCCTTTTAATGTTAGTCATTCCTCATGTTTTCTTTTCATACAGCAGAAATTTAAGCTGATTAATGGGTTTTTATTCACTCTCTCTCTCGTGTCTAACATATCCCTCTTCATTCCTGTAGAGGGAAGGAAAGGAGGAAGGATCACTCACCGTGCACCATATCACATCTATAAGTATAATATATGAGTAATTAGGATTAGTGTTGTTATTATATTACAACACATGGGCAATATTATACGCTTACCTTTATTTTTTGATTCGTTTTCACCTTTTTTGGGGATTATTTACTTACCTACTGACATTTTCATTTTTGTTTGTTTTTCTGTTCACGTACTAATTAATTAATTAATTAATTAACTGATCAGCTCCAGAGGAATACACTCGACAACAACTCGGTGAAGATGGTTCTACAACGGGTATGATGAAAACAATATTTATTGTTGTTGGTTGTGCAGTTGCCTATTTAGGCTTAATTATTGGATTAACAGCCTTTTGTAGTATACGTATGGTACGGACTCGACGTAATCGATCACGTAAAAATGGTAAGTCATTCAGTTGCAGTTGAGTATAAAACTCATTAATCATTTCTCAATTCTTTATGTAGGAATGCATGTGCATATATATACATATATATATACAAGTAGATGTTTGTGTATGGAATGTTTTCGCAACTCTTATCGTTTCAAAAAGACTCCCTCCCTATCTCTCCTAGCACAATATATCGTATCACACCAGTTAAGGATAGACCACCTTCTTACAGCTCCTAACACACACACACATACACCCACTGTATTTCTGTGCTTCTGTAATCTTACTGATGAAGACCTAAATGAAGTTTTACACTTCTTTTTAACATTATTTTTGTTTGTTTTGACGTTGAATGTTAACTTGTGTGTGTGTGCGTTTTTTCTGTTAGTTTCTTGTTCAGCTGATTCTCGCTGCCAGTGTTACTTTCATGTTTCCATCATCATCATCATCATCGTAATCGTCATGATCATCTCATATTTTGTTGACCTGACTAAAAACACAAACTTTACACACACACACTTTTTTCCTCTTGCATTTCTCCACTGCACACCCATCATGATTAATGAGAATTTTGGTTTTGCCTAACAGATGAAAAGTTATGTGTACTCTGGCGAATACATTAAGATTTTTAGGTGTACAACATTCACATAGAGACACATGGGGTGGGGGGAAAACAACAGAAAAATTTGGTGAATTGTAAAATCTTCAGTTTTCCCTGCACCTCACCTCATCGTTTTCATTCCCTTATTATTTGTTTATTTATTATGCTTTTTAAACATCCAAGAGGGAGTAATCAGCATAATTGTGTACGCTTCATGCACTGACACTTACATGCACACACCGAGAGGTACACTTGATAATATTCTGTAGGAACTCCACATTAGATATATAATTAATGTTCAAGGTATACTGCATACATGAGATGAATAAATCATATAATCAATCATTCAATGAATAAGATTACCATTGTAAGGGTTCACCTGTCTTAATTGGTAATAAAAAAGAGAGATTTAAGATTAATTATTGTAGGGGTAACACATGATTATGCGATGGTATAATTTCATCTTACCACCTACATCTCTTTTTGTATACATTTGTTATGATGGTAATATTAATAATATTAATAATTACAATGTGTTTACATTCACTAAGAATTCATATTTTAAATAAATAAACATGCATATTTTAAATCCTATTTCGTTGGCGCTACTCTTTGTTCAATGTTTCAATATCTGACCTTCATCGTTTAAAACAAAAATAACATGTAGAACTACTGAACCTTGGGGGTGTTTATTTAATTCTTTAATAGAAAGAACTTCTTTATTATTGTATTTAGAGATTTTAATTACGTTGTCTAGATGTAAGAGAGAGGAGTAAGGTAATTAAAATAACGAACAGATGAACCAACCAACAAACAGACAGCCAGTTGACTTTATCACTTCTTGAAAAGATGATTTATGACTTTTGTTTTATATACTTCGACAATTTACCTTTTATATTTATTATACTTCAATTTCAATAATAATAATAATCGTGATTCATTACAGACAATTAGATTTCATCTCTAAGCATTTTGGTCTTTTTTGTCTAGCTACACTTAATAAACAGACAATGAGAAGTAGGGAAGCTAAATCACTAACTTCTGTTGAGGTCATTTTCTGTCCACTTCATAGTTCTCACTATTCCTTGTTGCTTTATGTTCTGCATGGAAAATAGGGCTTCATGATTTGAAGTTTCAGCTCTGATTATGGTGTTGTTTTTATGCGGTGAGATTGTTATTCTTACACCCAACCTTTTGCAGTTTTTTGCAAGGCTATCAAGCAAGCAAGGTTTAGGAGTGCGTTGGCCGAGAGTTGAACTCTGAACCACTTGCGTTGGTTGGCGTGGTTAGTGCACTTAAAGTGAACTTTTGGGTAGGATGGGTGTGTATGTATGGCCATTCACATATGTTGGAATAAATCAGTTTCATATGAATAAATGTGTTTAAATTATAAAATATAATCATTCATTCAAGAATAGGGAAAAGCAAAGATTTGCTTTGACTTCATTTTCAAGCTATATACACTGGCATTTACACTGCCTAGAACGGGATTAAATAACACGAAAAATTGTTCAGGAATTCAGGTGAACATAAAGAAGACTGAAGTGATGAAGACAACCAACCAACCACCACCAACGGGAGAGATTTGGCAGAGATTACTTCCTTCAAGTATATAGGAAGCACGGTTTCAACCATAGGCATATGGCACGACGAATATGTCAAATCCAGTAGGGATCGGAAAGGTAAGATACGCCTTCATCAATCTTAAACCAGTTTGGAGATCTTCTACACTCATCAAAAGGAACAAGATTTGCATTGTCAACACCGACGTTAGTCCATGCAGTTATTCTGTACGTTTCAGAAACTTAGCATGTCACGAAAAGTATTTCCAACAGCCTGTTGAAGAGTTTTATCATCAGCTACCCTCTCTGGCTTCATAATGAAGATCAAATGGCCAGCCGACCAGAAACAATTAGCAACAAGAAACTCTGGCTGGGTGGGAACAAACCAATCAAGATCCGATTGGTCAACAAATATATAGAAGAAAATGGAGCTGGATAGGGCGTGCGTTGCTGAGGTCATCCAATGACATTGCGCGTAATGCAGGTCATTGCTCGAGTGGAATCCCTAAGGAGAAGCAACGAGTAGTTCGTCGGTGAGAGGGTGGCATCCAGGAGATAGTGTGGCGAGGAGGAGATGAGAGATAATGGACAATCGTGCGGCTAGCCAGATGAAGACGACAACAGAAAATAGAAGAGAGTGGAGATATGTTGCTGAAGTTCTACTCGAAACCCAGGGAATAATAGTAAAAATTGTTCAGTCAACGCGTATATAATAAAAATAACTGACATGACCTTTTAAGGTCATGGAGTTGAACTGAATAGATTTCATAATTTTTAGATGGTGAGTGAGATCAATAGGTAGCAATCCTTGAACTACTTAGCCTTCGTGCTTCTCGCCATTTATAAGAAAAGAGTATCTGCAGTCTTGAAGGAACTTATGTCCCTACTGAGATTTGAACTTAAATCACCTATGGTCAAAAACGATGTAACATTAGAAATTGGTCACTGCATTACTGTTATTCCCTTGGGTTCCAATTAGAACATAAGGCTGTGGGAGAACATCTCCATTTTGTCCTGTTGTTTGTAGTCCTATTCAGCCGGCCCCACGATTGACCATAAGCTCACATCTTCTCCTTACACGATTTCTTCCATATTACCCTCGGACTCAAACCCAACTCTTCGTTTCTCATTAGCGTTCCACTTGAGTGATGGCCCGGCACGCGATACTACTCAATGGTCTTCTCAGTGCATGCCCGGTCCGTCTCCATTTTCTTCGTCTTATTTGATGAGTGATAGGTTATTGATCAAACCGTTACTAGAGTTCCTTGTTGCTAATTGTTTCTGGCCATCTGATCTTCAGTATAAGTCCAGTGCCTCGGTGACACAGCTTCAGAATGCTCGCCAACCATGCATGTAGTCCGAGGTTCGATCCTCGGCCGACGCACTCCTTTACCTCACTAAGCCAGTATTAAGACTGGCAAAGAGGGAAGGTTGGGCATGAGGCTAGCAACCAAATTCTGTAAAAACAATAAACGCTGACGCAGAAACCTCAAACCCTTAGCTTGAAGCCCTATATTCCACTGGGAACGTAAAGGAACGAGTCATAGGTCCAGTGAAGATAGCTATGATAAGAGAATACTAGGTGTTTGTGGGGTGCCTGGTTAATTGCTACTATGTTTCAGCGCATCAATTAAAACTTAATATGTTCCGTATTTTTTTTATTTTGTTAGGTGGAAAGCTACATGAAAATGGTCAACTACTTAATCCTTTAAATGATCCCAATAATCCAAACAGTGGAAAGCGAGGTTCACAAGGCAGTGGTGGTGGACTAGGAGGAACAGGAAATTTCGAAAGTGGTTTGCTGTTAGGAGGAGGTGGTACTACTGCGATAAACACAACAGCTAATGCATCGCTCAGTCATCTACCTCATTATGGTCGGCCAGTTTTAACAAGTACATCGGGTACACGGAGTGGAACAAGTTATCACGATAACAGTACTTTACCACATCCTCTAATGTGTACAGAACCAAGTTCAAATCAGCGATCAAACATTCCGGTTAACGATACTAAATGTTGGTGGCCTGTGTCTGATAATGCCTATTATGGTCAAAATGATGCACAAGCCAAGTTATTGCAAACAGCAGGTGGCGGAACAATAGATGGATTTGCTAATCCAATGACAGATGTTACAGATCTTAATGGTCAATCCTACCTTCATGGACATTCTATGATGGGTCCTTCGTGTAATCTAATGTTTTCGGGTCATAAGGGTACAAGTACAGGTGTTGGTAGTAGTACCATTGCTACAACTACATCAGATTCACATCTTGTATCAGCACCACCACCAACACCTCTTGATTCACGATCACATTTTAGTGGTGTTTCTTCTGGTAATTCAACAAGTTTATACTCTCGATCACTTTTAAGCGGTGCTTCCAACTTTGGCTCACCTCATAATCAGGCAGCTTCACATGTGAATGGTATGAATCAGTATGATCAAACGAATGGTTTACACACTATCAGTCAAACAGATCGTATGAATTATCCACGTTGTGAATTACAAATGGAAGGAATCTTAGGTAAGTATGGATTTTGGATTTCCTCACCTGTCTTTGGGTTAAATATTCCGTCTCTACAGGCTTCAGTCGTGTACACTGTATTATCTAGTCACCTTTTTTAACCTAGACCTTAAGTGATTTTTAGGTGTGTATTGTTCCGTCTGTAAGAATAAAATCGTTTTCTGTCACTATAAAAGGAACAGATGAACTAGAATTGGTTACAGGATTTCATCATGCGCTGACATTGGTTAGAGAACCACTGAAAAACCTGGGAGTACTGGACAGCTGTTTCGTCCTAGTTTATGATTCTTCATCAGTACGCACCAACCGCCAGAGTTCGAACCCAGGACCTTCCGGTTACAAGGCGAGCTCGTATACCATTAAGCCACTGGGACCCGATCCAATGGCCCATGAATTCTAACTTCTGCCAATTCATGATATAGCGCAACCGCTAGCCAATGTCTACGGCGAGTATTTGTCCTCACACCCGACCGGCTGCACTCTACGGGTCACGACTTCCCACTGGCCCTATTCAGGTAGGTAGTTACTTAGGGTTCCACTGGGAAGTCGTGACCCGTAGAGTGCAGCCGGTCGGGTGTGAGGACCAATACTCGCCGAAGACATTGGCTAGCGGTTGCGCTATATCATGAATTGGCAGAAGTTGGAATTCATGGGCCGTTGGATCGGGTCCCAGTGGCTTAATGGTATACGAGCTCGCCTTGTAACCGGAAGGTCCTGGGTTCGAACTCTGGCGGTGGTTTTCAATGATTCTCTAACTGATGTCAGTCTGTGGTCAAGCTTGAAACATTCAATTCCTGTGAACTAACTCGTGAAAATATCAAGTTTTACTTAGTAATAGTTGTGCCTTTCTCGACATGCTTTTATAAAATCAAATTTAACATATACCTTATATCGTATGACTTGCATTTCATTGTTTTTTTGATTATCAGGAAAAGGGGAATTCGGAGATGTGTTCTTAGCCCGAGCTCGTCATATACAAGAAGGAGAAGCTCAGTCATTGGTGTTGGTTAAATCTTTGGCTTCACGGGATGCAATACATATCAATGAATTTCATCGTCAACTGGAACTGTTTGGTCAATCTGATCATGATTATGTTACACGTCTTCTAGGTGTTTGTATGGAGCAGGAACCTTTCTATATTCTATTAGAATACTGTGAATGGGTAAGTATTAAGTGGAGAAAAAGAAATTTTACTTCTCACTAATTTTGAATTGATAGTTATTACCTGAGGAAGTAAACGGTATATCACAAACGTTTCCTAACTCTTGCCCATCGGAGTCCAAAACATTAGACATTTGACTCAACGATATGCAAAATGCAAGCTAGACCCTTGCATAGCACACAAATCTATATCTGTGTTTGTGGACCTGGTGTTTTATAATTTGAATTTAATAATCTCTACAATCCAGTAGAATTATATCTGAATTTGTTTATCTGATATATCATACAGTAAAACGGTATTATTTACTGGATGGCAAAGTTTCGAACACAATTTATTGTTCGTGGTTATATCATCTACTGTAGTTTTCTGTATTCCTTCCTATCCATCTTATGGGGTAGTAGAATTTAATAATAATAATAATAATAATGACGAAATGCATGACAAACATGCACAGAATGATGATGACACCAACGGTAAGGAATTAAAATCACCAGTATTACTTCTATATAAGTAAGAAACATCGGAAACCTTAAGGAGAATTCGTAACAATGCAGGAATAAAAGTGGCATTCAAACTCACAAAATCAATTAGAAACAAGCTTTGTCGGTTAAAGGGTCTTATGAAGCCTATAAAACAAAACAATTTAGTTTATCTAATACCCTGCCTGAAATGATTGTCAGGTCAAATACATAGGTCAAACTAGTAGAACAAGGGCAGTCAGACTAGGGGAGCACAAAAACCTAGCAAAACCTAGATTAGTTGACCCTCATTAAGATAAGAAATCTTGAGAATAGTTCAGCCAATGCATTACATACAGTCACACACAACCATACAATAGGACGGGATAAGATGACAGTTTTAAAATCCACAGGGTGAAGGGAGAGATTGGTAACGGAAGCTTTATTTATAAAATGAACTGCAAATACATGTAATAGCAATGATTCAACACCTGTTCCAGACATCTGGAAAATTCTACTATCCCTACCGCAAATAGAAGAGAATAAATGAAATTCTGAAACCAATCAAATCCCTACAAACCATCACTTGAATACCAATGAGATGCTCACTGGCGACTGGCCCTATTCAGGTAGGTAGTCACCTGGGTTCCAGTGGGAAGTCGTGACCAGTAGTGTGCAGCCGGTCGGGTGTGAGGGCAAATACTCGCCAAAGACATTGGCTAACGGTTGCGCTATATCATGAATTGGCAGAAGTTAGAATTCATGGGCCATTGGATCGGGTCTCAGTGGCTTAATGGTATACGAGCTCGCCTTGTAATCAGAAGGTCCTGGGTTCGAACTCTGGTGGTTGGTGCGTACTGATGAAGAATCATAAACTAGGACGAAACAGCTGTCCAGTACTCCCAGGTTTTTCAGTGGTTCTCTAACTAATGTCAGCTCATGATGAAATTCTGAAACTATTAAACTTGAGTTTCAAAGTTGTGCATTTATAATTGATATGATTATGAAAAATAGATTGTGTTTGAAACTTAGTCATCCAGTATATAATACTGTTTCACTGTGTGATACAGCTAATAAACAAACTAATATGGAATTACATACTACCACCGTGCCTAAGTTTAGAATTACTCCAGAAGTTTAGCCATCTTCATTATGGTATTAGGCTTTGACAGATTTAACCAGTTACATAATAGGCTTTTCAAAAGTTTAATCAGGTACTCAATAACTAATGAGACAAATTACTTGTCCGTCGTGCTGTCAAGCTACAAACTGTAGGCTATTTTTAAATTATGAGTCACTGGGGAGTAAGAATCATCTCGTTATTAATAGACCATTCAATAAATAGTTTGTTATATCCAAAAATTTAAAACAATTAATCTCTTTTATAAATTTGGATAGTGTTATTAGAAGATTATTAATAGTCAGCTTAAAAACTTATGGAAAATGACTTCCTTTAAATTAGTTCTCATCTTGTGTCCCCTTCTTTAGATATAAAACCATAGTAAACGGCATAATACTGAATAGTGACTTCATCTCATATTGGTCTTTAAGTGGCAAAGTTTACTTATGACTTTGTAAGGGATCGACCTCAGAATCACTAAGCCTATACGATCGAAAGTTATCTGTAAGAGGTAGACTGTTGAATACCTGTAGTCTTTTAAGGATGATTTTTTCTCATATTCGCAAATGTATGATTTAAGTTTTTAGAATTGTTTTGCTCCTTTGGGTCCTGGGTGGAACATAGGGCTTAAAGGCTGAGATCTGAAGTTTACGTCTGAAGCCATACGTCCAACCTTTCCTCCTTACCAGGCTAGGCGACGTTTGGGAGTAAGTCAGTCATGAATTGGGCCCCAGGCCACTCGGGATGATGGGTGAGTATTCTACTGTTGAATCAGTGATGCTTAGGCAGTCACCAGTCAACAAGGCGTGTCTGTTCCCTTTAGAGAATTCATGTTTTCTCCGGAAATTGAACCTGCGTCACCCAGTGCTTGGAGTCAGAGACGTTACCAATGAGATATTCGTGATCATAATTAAAATGTCATAGGTTAATAAGTAATATCAATTTTTAACACTGATTGATCCAATTTTTCATCAGCTGACTATCAAGAGGACCTTGAATTAACTCCACTCACCAGAAAAACATACTTGCAAATTTGACAAGTTCAACTTATCTATTTAAATCTGTCTTGAAGTAGAGCAGAAAGAAATTTATCAGGACCCAGTGATTATGTTGTGATACCTTTGAGACAATCGCCTAATAAGTTGATTCAGAATGATGTGGTTTTTACACCCCGTTCAAAATATCCTTTCGACAGTGTATATAGTGAGAATATTTTAACCATTTTCCTTATTATTAATCCAAATAAGCACATATATGCGTAGTAATGTGTATGTTTCATTTATTTATTTATTTTTAATTCAGGGTGATTTGAAACAATTTCTACGTTGTATGCGTGAAGAAAACTCAGCACCATTTAAAATGCCTCCATTGACTTCTGCTCAAAAAATGAGTATATGTAAACAATTAGCCTTAGGTATGGATTATCTAGCCCATATGCATTGTGTTCATCGTGATTTAGCTGCAAGAAATATACTACTAACACAAGATTTAGAAGTTAAAATATCAAGTCTTGGTTTAGCTAGAGATGTCTATGCAAATGAGTATTATCGTCTACCAAATACAGAACAATACATCCCATTACGATGGTTTGCTCCAGAGTTAATCCATGAAATAACAACCAATGCTTCCGCGGCTACAACTACCAATCGACATATATGCAATGGTGGACATGAAAATGAAGCAATCAATCAACAATTAGCTAATCCATCAATACCTTATTCTACACAATCAGATGTTTGGGCATTTGGTGTATTAGTATGCGAAGTATTTTCATTAGCAGCACTTCCATTAGCCAGGCTGTCAGATCAAGAAATTATTGTAGCTGGTCAAAGAACAGCTATGCAGGTAACTGGTGCTAGTGGAGGTTTTAATAAATCAAAATCGAATCCGTCGGATTCAACTTCCCCGTTGAAACCAGATTTAGTTGCTGATATCCCAGGTGAATTGGGTAATCTACTAAATCGGTGTTGGTCACCAGCACCACAACATCGACCGACATTCAGTGAAATCGCCATAGTTATACGTGATCTTGCTTCATCATAATAATAATATTATTATTATTACTGTCAATCATCATCTTCTTCTTTTCCTTGCCGTAATCTAATCATGTATTCTCTTTCGTTCTTTCATTTGTATGTTTCTGTAAGTATAATTTCACTCTTCATTTGAAAATTTATTTCATCTTCAAAAAGGAGAAAGGTTGAGGTTACTCAATTGTCAATTGTTTGTCAATGCATCACTAGTAAGGGCTTATATATGTATGTATAAATAAAGGGGAGAAAACCATTTTCAAGTCATGCATGACACTTGATCACAAGTGGGGTCAAGTAATCCTTTTAGCTCTGAGTTCAAATGTCAATGGTAATCTATGTTACCTTGCCAACATACATATATAACTCTCTCTCTCTCTTTCTCCTCATTACTATTAGTATTAATATTAGTATTGTTATTATTCCAGAACACTCGAATCAACAACCAAAGTATAACGATAATATTATCTTCTTTCTTTGACTTATCATTACTACTATTTATTTATTTGTCAATAGTTGGCGTTGAAAGCTGACTGCGTTTCCTGTCACATTCATCATGTTTAATAGATCATTTCATTCCATGCAAGATAACATAATTGGTTTTAATCACATCTATAAAAAAAAGAAAGAGCAGATGGATATCTGAAAAACAAGTAAAGAAATAAATTTACCAGTTACAGTGCCTGCTTTTGTCTCCTATGAACTATTGTCATTGAACAAATGTTTGTTTTAGTTCTTAGCTTTATTATTAGCTGTTATTGTTACTACATGTCCATGAAAGAGGTCCTTGACAAGTGTGTATGTGTGTATATACATAGATACATACAAACATACAATTCACCAATTATATATAGACATTTTTATTTGTACATATTTTACTTTACTGTGAACACATTTCATTTTCTGATAATTATTATTGTAATAAAATTTGAAACGAATTAACAGACCACTGGATTCTACCCTGGTGGTTAAATGGTATATGACTTCATTTTGTAAGCTGAATGCCCTGAGTTCTATTCCGAAGGTGGGCTGACTCATGAATGTGTGCATTCAGCTGAAGAGAGCGCAAACAAGGCCGAAGCAGTAGTAAGCCAATACACTATGGATATCCAATCATCTCTTCAACTGTGAAGTCGATTCGTGATTGAAACTGAAATATAATATTTTAAATGGTGATAATAATAATAAATCCTAACTGCTTTGGAACGCATCAACTTTCATTTTCCTAGCTTCCTGATTCAGTTATCTTGTCTACTTAATAATAATTATAATAATAATATAATAATACTATTGAAAAGTCAATTTACTACCCGGTTAAACTTAACTTTCAAACGAATCTTGATCATTTTTGTTCTCATTTCCATTGATGGAAATACAATATATACTGGTGCTGATTGATACCGAAATATTGTTTGTGCCTAATATATAATATAATACATATGTACTCAATAGACTGTATTTTACTAACTATTGCCATGTACACTGATACAAGAATTATTACCACCCCCACCCACCCCCCACCACCATCATTGGGTTTCTTTTTGTAGCTGTTTTAAGATAACAACAAAAAAATCTATTTGCACTGTACACACTATCAGAAATATGCATTTCAAATATAGTAATAATAATAATGATAATAATCATCGTAGGAGATAGGAGGGAGCACATTTCTTCAGCCCCTCCACCCCTTTGCCCGCCTCACTCCGGTCTTTTTCTTTTCTCTGCTTCCTGGTATTTTCTGCTATAGGTATAATGCCTCCCTTTATCCACTTCTTTCCATGTTCTCTCTCTCTCTACTTGAGTGTAAATCCCTTTTTATTCACACCTTCGTTCTCGGTGTTGGAGAAGAGAAATGCCGTGTCTTTTGTTTGTTTGTTTGTTCTCATTACTTTATAGTTTGAGATGAATAAAAACTTTGACAAGTTCTACTTTTACCTTTATTATTACTACTGTATTACCATATCTCATATGTTTTGTTTCATTTCCGTGCGTATCAAAAGACAATGAAATAAAAATACGTCTATATGTTTGCATTTTTTGTTAAAAATTCTTTAAAGATATAGGTAATGTGGATATATCATTATTATTATTATTATTATTATTAACATTTTGGTGTAAAAGTTAGTGAAGAATAATGAGCAAATAGAATATAAGCTCTCTTTTCTTAGGCAACATACTCTCTGTGTAGACTTCTCTTTTGTTTGTTTGTCTGTTTGATCATCACTCATTTATGATGCTTCTTGATCTGTTTTGTCCTTGTTCTTCTTCTTCTTCTGTGGTTTCGACATTATTTCTAACACTGAAATGTAACATTGTTTGTGTTTTGCAACTCGATCACTTACTAATTTATCATTTGATTTTCTTCTTACTTGTTACCAAATTAATGAGGGGAAAAAAATAAAGATTACATTTACTAAGCATTTGAAAAAAAACAAAATACATACATTTTATACGTTTACAAGGTTTTGTTTTAGATTTTTTTCTTTGGTTTTATGACATAAATGACGAGTGGAGTAAAATATAGGAGGGTTTCAACAGTACATTCTTCGACGGTGCTCTCAGCGTGTATCCATCCGATCCATCTCCACTTTCTTCGCGATAATTGTTGGATGATAACGTTCTTGATTAGGCAGTTCCCAGACTTTCTTCTTGCTAATCCTTTCTGGCCAGCCATTTCATCTCAATATGGAGAGAGTGATGGCAGTTATTGATGAAAGTCTGTGTATGGCCTGTTGAGAATGCTTTTTCGTCACCCGCCTGCACAGACCTCTGAACCATATAACATTGCTGTTGAAAATTTAGGTTTTGTTCTGTATGCCACAGAATGCAGAAAATTTCCAAGCTGACTTCAGAGTGATGAATGTCTGTCCTGCCTTCCCGATCCCGGTTTGGACATCCTTCATCCGTGTTGTGTGCTTGAAGTTGAAACGATGCTATCCAAATAAGTAAGGAAGTAACCTCTTTCAAATTTATTCTGTTGATTCCGATTGGTTCATGTTGCTGTTGGTTGGTTATCCTCATCACCTCCATCTTCTCTATGTTTACCTGAAGTCCTGTCTTCGTTGGCTACTTCTGTTTCCATCTTGTTCTTCGAGTTTATGTGACATTAAATATATAAATCATTCACAAAGTCCAGATCTTCTAGCCTCTTCGTATCGGTCCAACGTATTCTTATCTTCTCGCTTCCCGTGGTTTGATGAATGATTTAGTCCACCACAATTAAGAATATCATCGGTGATGTTAGACACTCTCGTCTTAGTCTGGTATTCACTTCAAAAGTTTGTCTCAATTTTCCATTGTGGATCACCTGACGCATGGCATTGTCATATGGCCAGCTGTTGAATGAGGTTCAGAAAAACTTACGGCATTTCATAATGTTGTAAGAGTTTTCAATTACATCGTGGTCAACCCTGTCGATGAGGTAGGGATTTTGCTGGCATTCTATGCTCTTTTCGATGATATTGCCTAGAGTTGCTATTAGACCAGCACATGATTTACTTTTCCTGAATCTATGTTGTTCCAGTCGGAATCGTGCACCCAGTGCATCTTTTAGTCTCTCCAGTTTGACGGGACTTAGTACTTAACCTGAGCGGATAACAGCATGATCCCACACTAGTTTTTGTAGTAGCCCAAGCTGCAGTTCTTCAGTAGTTCGACAAGGTATCCGTGCTTCCAGTCAGTAGGTACCTTTCTTTCCTTTCAAAAGTTTTGCAGTAGTGGCGTCGGCAAACAGCACCCCTGTATGAGTGAGCGTCACTCGAAGACGCAAGTAAAAACGAGGTATTTCTGATACAATAGGCCGCGCAAATAGCAGTATAAAGCCATAAAAATACAACTTTATGAGTTTAACCTTGAAGTGTGAAGCTTAGATATGACTATGTGAAACAACATTTACTGTCACAGAAAAGTAAGAACTTTAAAGTCATTCAAATAAATGCCTTATAAAAAATTTTACCAATTCATAATTTAATGTCGAATAGCTTAATATTATGCATATTGTTTAAGTCATTACATGAATATGACAAGACTAAATTAAGCGTCCTTGTTAGAGTATGTCATAAAACGAATTGTTTCTTATTATTATTTTCAATGACGATACACAGGAAGTGTAAAGTGCGCACAGAATACAAGAAATTAATTGTTCTTCTGCTTTTCCCTATTCTCTACACCTTAGTAAAATTTAAGGCGACAATGATTGGGTCAAGTTTCCTTTTGACTATAGAATTCTTTTGTACTGACTGAGTTTCAAAATACAAGTTTACACAGAAGTGCAGCAGTTCAAATTGAAACACTCCACGTAGCACAAAAATTTGAAGACATACAAAAAACTACAATGAACAGAAGATTTTGGGAGAAAAAATAGCAACACAGAAAAACATGAGGAATTAATGTATCTCAGAGATTGCAAAATAGGTGAATGCATCTGCCCCATTGAAGAATGTTTTTAGCCATATCACCAATTGTCTTCAGTCACTGGATTTTAGCATCTTGAGGATCCATACCAGGCGGTTAGCACCTCGATAAGTAGCTCAAACTAACTGTTGGACTCTTCGTAGACTAGTTCTAGGTTTTGTTTTAACTACCCTAACTCATTTTTGCAACTTAATCCTATTTTGGCTAACACTGCCTGTCGAGGAGGTGATGGCTTGGCACACTTGCCGCGTTCTATAACCACCTCAATCGATGTAGCTTCCCGACTTCATTGATTGGTTACCCTCCTTATTTAACACCCGACTCCTAACCTCAATACTTCCCATAATATTGTACTCCTTAACCCCGGATATAGAACGCAAAGATCCGCGGTTAAATATAGCTAGCGTTTTTATATCTCTCACTTTGTGAATGGCCTTGTCTCACAGACACAAATGAGGAGAGAGCGGACTTCTACGCGCTAAACACTTCCTTTGATCGCTAGGCGGCTTTCACGTGTATGCGAGAGATGACGTAGGTTGGCAAGTGCCATCCTATCCTTTTGTGTCTGTTCTGAGATTGCCGCCATTCAGGTTGATGCAACTTCCCAAATAGGTAAAGCTGTCAGTATGGTCTACCACTTCATTCCCTATCTTCAATTCAGGAGTCGATAAAAATCGATCCTGAAACATAGTTTTACATCTAACAGAGGTGAATCGCATGCCGAACATAATCAAAATTTTGTTCAAGGTATTTTAGTGATTCCACATTTTTTCAGTAGCTTCACTTAGTAGGGGCATCGACAGATGGAGAATAAAGTAGTACCCGAAAAAAGCCTTTTCCATCCTGTTTGTCTAGCAAAAGTGATTTGAATCCAATACCTCTAGAGATTTTATCGGAAGGAGATAAACACTCAACATTTATTAAATCCTGATAGTTTCCTGGTTTTCAAATTTATCAAAAAGTCCGAATTTTATTAGTCTTGGATGAATCCAATAAAATAATTAAGGTAGGTCTTCAGCGTGATGATCTCTTCAGGAAATTCCTTCATACTTTTAATTTCTTTATGATTTTATCTGGGTCAGACTGATCAGTTAATTTTGATTCTTAGGAAAAACGGGATGCGCCTCTTTGATTTGACTGCTGGTTAATATCCTACAAGTATCACCAGGACAGAACTCAAAGCCAAATCAGGGTATCCATTCGCCATACAGTCTTTTTTCATTCCTTAAGTTTCAAGTGGAACGAATGGGCTCAATGATTTTGAAGTTTCACTAGTCGTGATGTTGTTTTAGCAGATTGAGGTTGCACGCCTCACACTGTACCTTCTCTCTTTTCCGAGCTTACTGACGGCTAATAAAATAGCGAACAAGGTTTAGGGGTGCATCAACCATGAGTCGAATCTGGAACACCCAAATGGTTGGCAAGTATTCTACTATTGAACTGCTGACACATACAGCCTATGCAACGAAAGTCATTGGTCAATTTAAATCATAAAATAAACAAAAATTGCAAACAGAAGGAATCTCTCATAGATTAATATCCTAATAATTTAACGCTGTAATTTCTCATACTGTGCGTTTGAGATTTGAATCGCAGTGGAAACACAACTGCTTGATGTGATGTAGGTTGGGTAAGCGTCCTACATTCTACTGAAAGCCACTGCCATAGAAATGACTCTCTTAGGAAAGTTTTATAAAACATTTTAAGAGGATTCCACCAATGAAACTTAAAAGAGAGTAATTCAAGGGAACTTGGTAGAAAAGAATTTATCATCATTATTATTTCCTTTAGTTCCTAGACGAATATAAGGCTTCAGCCGCACATCTCCAATGCGTTCGGTTCTCCACCAACATTTTCACTTGGCTCCACGTCTGCCCACATCCTTTCGTCCCCTTTTCGCATGACCTCCTCCATGTCACCCTCGCACTGACGACCAACTCGCCGCTTCTTTTTCAGGTTCCACTCGATAGAGAGCCTGGCAAGTGATGTTACTTCATAGTTTCCTCAGAGTATGGCCAATCCACCTGTATTTCTTCCTGCAGATTTGATATAAGTATAAACCTTGGGCACTGTGGTAGAGCACAACTCATTATGGATAAGATTTTATTTTGGTAAATCACACAGTGTTGTACAGTAATATTAACTGATGACGTTTCGAGCACAAACTATTGCTCATCATCATAACTTCATATGATTTATCAAAATAAAATCTTATCCACAATGGAGTTCCTGCAGATTTGTTGCACAATCGGTTCCTGCTGGGTTGCTTCTCTCCCAGAGATGTTGCTGATCTTTTCTGGCCACTCGATCTTGGGTATTGGGCGAAGACATCAGCTGATGGAAATCTGTTGTTTGTTCGTGACGCAGCGTCAAGTCTCCGATCCGTATAGTAGCACTGACTTCACGTTGGAGTTGAAAATCCGGGTCTTATTTTTCATACTGAGTGCTGTTGATCTCCACACAGACTTGAGAGACATGAAACTTGCCTTGCTTTCCCGACCTTCATTTTGATATCCTCATCAGTTTCGTCCGCCCGAAGCTGAAAAAATGCTTCCCAGGTAGGTAGGTGAAGGAGGTTGCTTCTTTCAGATTTCCCATTTCTGTTGATTGTTGTCTGTTGTTCTTGATGCTATTGCTGTTGGCGAGGAATCTTCATCACCTCTGTTTTCTCTGTATTCACCTGAATTCC